AGAGTACTGGGCTAATGGTAAGATTCTTGGTAGTGTGGATGAGCAGAAAGATCTCGGTGTCCATGTGCATAGACCACTGAAAGTTGCCACCCAGGTTGATAGCGTTGTTAAGAAGGCGTACAGTATGTTAGGTTTTATTGGTAGAGGGATGGAGTTTCGGAGCCATGAGGTCATGTTGCAGCTGTACAAAACTCTGGTGCGGCCGCACTTGGAGTATTGCATACAGTTCTGGTCACCGCATTATAGGAAGGATGTGGAAGCATTGGAAAGGGTGCAGAGGAGATTTACCAGGATGTTGCCTGGTATGGAGGGAAGGTCTTATGAGGAAAGGCTGAGGGTTTTGAGGCTGTTTTCGTTACAGAGAAGAAGGTTAAGAGGTGACTTGATAGAGACATACAAGATGATCAGAGGATTAGATAGGGTGGACAGTGGGAGCCTTTTTCCTTGGACAGTGATGGCTAGCACGAGGGGACATAGCTTTAAATTGAGGGGTGATAGATATAGGACAGATGTCAGAGGTAGGTTCTTTACTCAGAGAGTAGTAAGGGCGTGGAATGCCCTGCCTGCAACAGTAGTAGACTCGCCCACTTTAAGGGCATTTAAATGGTCATTGGATAAACATATGGATGATAATGGAATAGTTTAGGTTAGATGGGCTTCAGATTGGTTTCACAGGTCGGCGCAACATCGAGGGCCGAAGGGCCTGTACTGCGCTGTTATGTTCTATGTTCAATAGCTGCTCGCAGAGTGCTAAAAAACAGGATAGCCTGCATTTTGTGCCTGAATGACATGGGATTTTGTTCTGTCTCAAACACAACAGAACCAGTGAATAACAAAATACTAAGTGAGGCCAGTTGTATTTCTGCTGACTCACAGCAATCCCATTAGTCGATGAGCTGAACTCTAAAGGACTTTAGGCTCAAGGAATCCAAACAGCTCTGGAGTCAGTGAGAATTGGGGTTGGTGTGGCTACGGGGTGAGCGCTTTACTGGTTGGGTCCATAACTGGCACAAAGAAAGATGGTTTGTGCATGCTTGAGGTGAGTCATCTCAGCTCCAGGACACATCTGCAAGAGTTCCTCAGAGTAGATATTTTCCTAATCAATTTGTTCAGAGATGTTATTACACACCTCTGGAGCAAGTAGGATTTGAATCCGGACCTCCTGGTCTGTAGATGGGGCAGGCCAGAAGCAGCACCAGGCATACCTGAAAATGAAGTGTCAACCTGGTGAAGCCACCACTTGCATGTCATTCAGCAGTTGTGAATGGTGGTGGACAAATAAACAACTCACTGGAGGAGGAGGCTTCACAAACATCCTCATCCTCACTGATGGAAGAGCCCAACATTTCAGTGCAAAAGACGAGGCTGAAGCATTCGCAATAATTTTCAGCCTGAAGTGCCAAGTGGATGATCCATCCCGGCCTCGTCCAGTGATCCCCAACATCACAAATACCAGTCTTCAGCCAATTCAGTTCACTCCGTGAGAAATCAAAAAACCTATAGAGGCAGTGGATACTGCAAAGGCTTTGAGCCCTGACAACATTCTTGCAAAAGTACTGACAACTTGTGCTCCAGAACTTCCTGCTCCCCTAGCCAACAATAAAATTGCTCAGGTATGTCATGTACACAAAAAAAGCAGGACAGACGTGGCTACAGAACAGGTCAGAGGCTAAGAATACTGCTCCAAATAACTCGCCTTCTGAATCCCCAAAGCCTTGCCACCACTACAAGGCACAAGTCAGGACTATGATGGAATACACCCCATTTGTTTGTAGAAGTTAAGAGAGCTGATGGGACAATAGGCTGTCTTCTAATTCAAATGCTCAAATAGTTTCTTGGTACTATGAAGCTTAAGTATTGATGAAAAGGGAGTCATGCTGTTAAAACTTTTTCTCTTGCAATCATCAGGACAGAAACCAAAAAATACATCTCAATAAGAACAACAATCTATATTGTATAGAAAAGTTAGTGCTATTTAGAACATAGAACAGTACAGGCCCTTCAGCCCACAATGTGCCGAACTTTTACCCTAATCCTAAGGTCGATCTAACTTCCACCCCTACCTTATACTATCATCCATATGCCTATCTAATAGCCGCTTAAATGCCCCTAATGAGGCCAACTCCACTACCCTCTCCGGCAATGCATTCTACGCCCCTACCACTCTGAGTAAAGAACCTACCTCTGACATCTCCCCTATATCTACCTCCACTCACTTTAAAACTATGCCCCCTCGTAATAGCTACCTCCACTCTAGGAAAAAGTCTCTGGCTGTCCACTCTATCTATACCTCTGATCATTTTGTACATCTCTATCAAGTCACCTCTCATCCTTCATCGTTCTAAAGAGAAAAGTCCTAGCTCTCTCAACCTTTCCTCGTAAGACCTTCCCTCCATTCCAGGCAACATCCTGGTAAATCTCCTCTGCATCTTTTCCAAACTTCCACATCTTTCCTGTAATGAGGTGACCAGAACTGGACACAATACTCCAGATGTGGCCAAACCAGGCTTTTGTATAGCTGGAGCATAAATTCACGGCTCTTGAACTTAATCCCTCTATTAATAAAAGCTAACACACCATACGCCTTCTTAACAACTCTATCTACCTGGGTGTCAGCTTTCAGGGAACTGTGGACATGAATCCCAAGATCCCTCTGCTCCTCCACACTGCCAAGAATCTTTCCGTTAACCCTGTATTCTGCTTTCAAGTTTGTCCTTCCAAATGAATCAAAATGAATCACCTCATACTTTTCAGGGTTAAACTCCATCTGCCACTTCTCAGCCCAGCTCTGCATCCTATCAATGTCCCTTTGTAACCTAGAACAGCCCTCCGCACTATCCACAACTCGACCCACGTCTGTATCGTCCGCGAACTTACTAATCCACCCTTCCACTCCTACATCCAAATCATTTACAAAAATCACAAATAGAAGAGGACCCAGAACAGATCCTTGTGGTCCACCACTCGTAACTGAGCACCATGTTGAATAGTTTCCGTCCACTACCACCCTTTGTCTTCTAAGGGTCAGCCAATTCTGAATCCAATCTGCCACATTTCCCCCTATCCCATGCCTCCTTATTTTCTGCATGAGCCTAGCATGGGGAACTTTATCAAACGCCTTACTTAAATCCATGTATACCACATCCACTGCTCTACCTTCATCCATGTGTTTGGTCACCTCTTCAAAGAATTAAGTAAGGTTTGTGAGGCATAATCTACCCCTCACAAATCCATGCTGAATATCACGAATCAAACTGTGCCTATCCAAGTGATCATAAATCCTATCTCTCAGAGCCCTTTCCAATAATTTGCCCACCACTGAAGAAAGACTAACTGGCCTGTAATTTCCGGGGTTATCTCTGTTCCCTTTTTTGAACAAGGAAATGACGTTTGCCTCTCTCCAATCTTCTGGCACTATATCCGTGGACAGTGAGGACGAAAAGATCACCGCCAAAGGCCCTGCGATCTCGTCCCTCGCTTCCCATAGAATCCTTGGATAAATCCCATCAGGCGCGGGGGACTTATCTATCTTCAAGTTCCTCAAAATTCCTAGTACATCTTTCTTACTAACATCCACCTCCTTTAGCCTACCAGCCTCTTTCACACCGTCCTCCCCTACAACTAGGCCCCTCTCAGTTGTGAATACCAAAGAAAAGTATTCACTAAGGACCTCTCCTATCTCTTCAGGCTCCATACACAAATTCCCTTTACAATCCTTGATCGGCCCTACCCTTTCTCTGGTCATTCTCTTATTCCTCATGTACGTGTAAAAAGCCTTGGAGTTTTCCTTGATCCTATGGAGCCCCATTCTCGCTCTCCTAAGCCCTTTCTTTAGCTCCTTCCTGGCTACCTTGTATCCCTCTAGAGCCTTTTCCGATCCTTGTTTCCTAAGCGTTATATATGCATC